GTGTGTGTGTGTGTGTGTGTGTGTGTGTGTGTGTGTGTGTGTGTGTGTGAAAATGCTAGTGAAGGGCATACAAGACAAAATGTAACACACGGACAGAGAAAGGTCAGCTCAATACAGTAAATGTGTTGATTTGTTCTAAAATTCCAATTAAAATATAAAAGCAAGGGCCGGGGATTTAGCTCAGTGGTTCCGCTGACTGCCTCACAAGCATGAGGTCCCAAGTTTGATCCTCAGTCCCCCCCCAATATATATACATATATGAAGCAATGTCAAGGGGGAATTTCTTAAATTCTTCTACAACTTGTCAAGAAAAATAAACACTGGTGAAAGGCAGGAAAATACCGGAAAGAGAAGAGTGAGGACCAGGCAGCTGGGACGGCAGGTTCCCTGGCCCTGTCAAATACTCCACATTTCTGATGGGAATTTAGTTGTGGAGTTGTCACACAGTGGCGTGGATGGGCAGAGTGAACAGAGAGCACCAGGTGTCAGCGCCCTGTTTCTGAGAGAGAGGACACAGGAAATGGAAGGAGAGGGATTCCTACAAAGGTGTGGGAACAAGTATAACTAAGTATTCTAACTATTCTTTTTTTCTTTTTTGCGGTACCAGGGATTGAACTCAGGACCTTGCACTTATAAGGCAGGCGCAGTGCCACTGATCTAAATCCTTGGCCCTAACTACCTATTCTTTATGGGTAAAAAAGGAGAAAGAAGGAAAGGAAAAGGAAAAAGCTGGATCCCTACCTCACTCCTCATACCAAATACTTTTCCAGATTTAATTGTATAATCTTGTAGTGAAGAAAGACTTTCCAAGAAAAACCCAAATATAAGGGCTGAGGATTTAGCTCAGTAGTTCTGCCACCTGCCTCGCAAGCACAAAGGCCTGAGTTTGATCTCCAGTACCAAAACAAAGCAAAAATGCAGATCTATAAAATTGACTCATGACTAAATGAAATATAAATTATAAAATGTAAGTACTTTCATTTTTGCTTTGTGATATAACGTTGTACATGCAATATGATAGCTGAATTCCTTCAAACATTTTGTAGAAGTCAATAAGAAAACAAAAATTAGAAAAATAGTCAAAGTCTGTTACCAAAAAAGATGCATAGGGCTGATATACAAAAACGTATTCAAAATTTTGCAAAATAGAAAGAGATGTCCCTGCTGCCTGTCAAGACAAAAATGCCTGCATTTGCTGACATCTGGTGCTGGCGGATGGGAATCCAGGCGCTGAACAGGTGGGAATCCCTGGAGGGTGACTCGGTGGAGTCTGCGTGGCTGCCCACGTCCACGTCCTGTAGCCCAGAGGACGTGGGGACCACAGGGGCACAGGTGGAGGGACAGCCTGCGGGTGCTCGAAAGAGAGCAGAGTTCATGCAGGGCAGTGTCCCAGGGGCCAGAAGCCAAGGACCTCAGCATCCCTGGGTGCAGGGCAGAGGCTGAGAGCTCCTGGGTGCTGGCCTCGGGCACAGGGGTGCAAGGCCTGGAGTCCCCCCGGGCACACAAGGGAAGGGCCAGCACCCCACTCACGCCCGAGGAGAACCGAGAACCACTGTCGTCTTAAAATTCCGCTCTTTACAATCTGTCTTACTGCTCGTGGGCTTCGTGAACTCATTCTTTTCTTTTTTTAAATTTGGTAGAGGGACATGAAAAGTGCTCCGCAGAAAGTGTGCAGACAGAGCAACCCTCTGGGAATCGGGAGCCGGTCCCGTGTCACCAGTGCCCTGAGGAGGACCGCGTCGCCCCCAGTCCTGCAGTGCCTGCGGTCACAGCGCCCTTCAAGAGCCCGTCCCCTCCGCCGCACCACCTGCGCCCCACCGTGCGGGCTCACACATGGCCATCACAGCCGAGTTCAGACCTGGCCTACCAGGGCCATCACTGCCACCTCCGCGCTGTCCGTGGTGTGGCATTTTCTACCACCCTGGGGGTCTGCCCCTCCTCTCTTTCCCTGTCAGTTTGTTTGTTTGTGTTTTTATTTGACACAAGATTGCACAGTGTAGTCCAGGCCAGCCTTGAACTCACTGTGCAGCCCAGGCTGGCCTTGAATGAACGAGAAACCTCCTGCCTCAGCCTCTCTCGTCCTGGGATTGCAGGTGTGCCATCCACGCTCGGCTCCAGGGAGTCTTTCAGTGAACAGTTTTTAATGTCAGCACATTCCCGCTCCAGTGCTCTTTTTTCTCCCTCTCTCTTCTACTCCCTGTCTCTTTTTATCTCTGCCACTCAAAGGCCTCAGCCTAGTTCCTTCCCAAACACCTTGTGGTTTCTTCTTAGCATTTTTTTTTTTTTTTTTTGTACCGGGGATCAAATTCAGGACCTTGCACTTGCACTGAGCTAAATGTCTGGCCCACTTCTTATCTGCCTGAAATCTGTGCCTGACTCTTAACTTCAAATCTGTTTTCCTTTTATACTTGCAGTCCAGGCCTCACTTTTACTTCCTGCATCCTTATACTTGCTGCATCCTGGGGCCAAGGCCTGGTCCTGCTGCGACCCTGACTCTGGACCCCCTCGGGACCTGCGGCTCCCCCTAATGCCTTTGTCTGCCTGGCCGTGGAGCGGAGTTCAGGGACCAGGGCTTCCCAGGGTTGAGACCTCTGGCTGTCCAGGACGGCTCTCTCCCTGCTGGTCGCCTTCTGCTTCAACTTTACTGGCTGGATGATGACCCGGGGCTGACACAGCTGTGTGCCTCCCGGCGAGTCGGGCGCTGTGACTGTGGCTGCTGTGACTCCGGGGTGGGCATGACGGAGCCCCTCCCCCTCCCCCACAACGGCTCAGGAGCTGCTCCCTAGACTTGGCTTTGTCCGGGCAGGGGTCCTCACACGGTGCCCCCGGGGCTCTCCCCTGTCTGGGGACATCAGGATCATCACCCAGGGAGGAGGGACTCGGGCTCCAGGGGCTAGAGGGCAGAGAGGCGGCCTCACGTCCAGGTAAAAGGCCTGTCTGCTCACAGTGCCACTAGGCTGCAGCTCCCTGGAGCAGTTCAGTCCGGGCCAGGCGAGATCCCAAACAGGCTGAGCCAGGTGACCCCAAACCCAGCGGCTCAGATGCCCCCAGCTGTGGGCCTGTGGCCTGGCTGAGCCCCTCAGGCACCCACAGGGCTCAACGCAGAGGATGCCTCGCTCTCGCAGGGAGACATCACCGCCTCACACTTAATTTCCTATGGTGCCTGAGCCGGCTGGGGAGAAAAATAACAGGAGAACAATGTAGTTCAACTAAAACGCTCCAAATGTCAGCACACAGGCCCCTAGGATGAGTGCCCAGGCATCAGATGCTGCCCTGCTCTGAATGAGTAAGTTACCGTTTGGAAAAGTAGAAGCTGGGCATGGTGCTGCACACCTGTAATTCCAGCACTAGGAGGCTGAGGCAGGAGCATCACAGGAGTTCTAGGCAAGCCTGGGCTACACAGTGAGTTCAAAGCCAGCCTGAACTGTGGGCTGATGGGCAGGTCCCAATGCTAGGGCTGGTGGGTGGGGTCCTGGGGGCGTAGCTCGGTGGGGTGTGGCAGGGAGGGGTGTCCAGTGCGGTCCTGTCACAAAAATTTTAAAGATTTGGGCCAGGGACTCAGCTCAGGGGTTCCACCGCCTGCCTCACAAGCACAAGGTTCTGAGTTCGATCCCCGGTACCAAAAAAAATTTTTTTAATTAAAAGAGAAGGAAAGATAATTACTATTCTGTGTAAGGACTAAATAGCAGAAACACCTTGCAAATGCTAAGATAAATATTATTTTAATTTGTTTTTACAGCTCTGTAGTCTCTGAACACACAGGGAGGCTCCAGGCGGAGGTCACGTGGCAGGGCCGCTACAGTGATAGCTGCGGGCTGCTGAGCTCCTTGAAGCCAAAGGGCTCCATCCGGGGTCATCGCCTTGACGACGGGCCTGCCATGTCCCGGAGGAGGAGACGCCAGGTCCCGGGGTCTCCCGTGTTTCTTTTTACTCCCCTCCCCCGCATCTCTTGGAAATCCTTTGCTTACAACCTGTCTACACCTTGCAATAAAAAGCCAAAGCCAAGGCAGAGCCCTTTGGGACCCATGGGTCTGGGCCTTCTGGGGCGTCGTCACCTCCTCTCGAGGGCCCCTCCTCGTGGCCGAGTGTGGCCCTGCACCCGGGACCCCGAGCTCCGGGCCAGGAGCCCCGGCAATCAGGTGGGGCTCGGATCACTGTCACCTGACACCCGCAGGTGAAATGCTCGCTCTTGAAGTGCGCCCAGGAGCGACGCGCAACGGAACGCG